TGGTGAATTTGATGGCAGGATGTCTGGAATTGATGTGGTGTAGGAAAAGGTTCAGAGCTGGGATGCCATGTGGCCAAATGACGAAAGTGTCATCCACATATCTCTTCCACAGGGAAGGTCTGAGGGTGGAAGTCTGGATGGCGTCTGATTCAAATTTCTCCATGAAAATATTTGCTATCACTGGTGACAAGGGGGATCCCATGGAGGTACCCTCATTTTGTTTGTAGAAAGAGCCATTCCAAGTAAAGTAGGTATTGTTGAGGCAGTGCCTAACCAGTGCAGGTGTATCGGGGTCTAGTCCATGTTGGACCAAATTTTCAATTATTTCAATGGTATCCGGCACTGGGACCTTGGTGAACAAATAGACCACATCGAAGCTGACAAGGATATCGTCAGGGGACAGTACAACGTCTTTGACCATAGAGACCAATTGGGCTGAGTTAAGTACTGCTGAGGCGGTCTTGCCAGTGAAAGGCAGCAAGGTATCTGACAGAAAACGGGTCAGTCTATAGGTAGGGGAGTTGATCGTGGATACGATGGGTCGTAGTGGGTTGCCTTCTTTATGAATCTTGGGAAGACCATATAATCTAGGGGGTCTTGCAGCAGAAGGTTTTAGGGAGGGACGTTTAGTTGGGTCGATTTGGGAGGTCGAACTTGTGATGATCTTGTTGGTTTTTATCGCTAGGCTATTGGTAGGGTCATTTTTAATTTTTGAGTAACTTCCATCGTTGAGCAGATTCTGGATTTTGTTGTTGTATGAATCTTTATCCATAATTACAGTAGCGTTGCCTTTATTGGCTGAGAGGATGACTATATCACTTCTGTTTTTTTTTAATTCGCGAGTTCAGAGCGTTCATATTTGCTGATGTTACTAATGGGCTTCTTAGCATTCTTAAGAATAGTGGCTATTTTAGCTCTCTCAACGTCTGCTTGGATGTGTCCCACGCCTTTGAGGGCTACATCGACCTGAGAGATGATATCATCTACTGGTATGTGTTTTGGGGTGACAGCAAAATTCAGTCCCCTAGCCAGTACTGTTTTCAGATTGTCCGAAATCGGGGTGCTACTCTGATTAATGACGATATTGTTAACGTCTAGTTTTGTTATATGTGGAACTGGGTTCTTCTTTGATAGGTGGTTGAATTTAGAAATCAGGTTAGCTTTACATTTGACTGACAGTAAATCAGCAGAAGAAGCAGTCGTGTTGTCTACGTGATTCCAATCAGAAGGTGACATTTTTTGTGTTAACATTAAATGAGCTTACAGGATAGTCCTGTCTAAAGTATCGAGTTCAAATCGGAGTAGCCTTATCCTCTCTGAGATTAAAGATAGGCTGGCCTTAAACAGAATCTGTTTAGAATTCGGAGAAGATACAGCAGCAGAAGTGAGTGTGAAAGCGATGGGTATTACCTTGTGATCGCGGCATCTTTTGAGGAAGGTCAGCGTCTCGATGAGCTGTGACTTCTTGTCCCATTGTCTGTTAAAAGCTCTAACAAGTCAAAGCCCTTCCCGTAGAGGTTATCAATTCTAAATTTAAAGCTTTCGTGACTGCAAGGATCCATACTCTTTAGTTTTATTCGGTAAAGTCACGTAGGTAAAAAATAAAACAACAAAAAATCACGACTTTTTGGCCACAACACAAGCGGCCTTCATCAGGTGAAGGGATCAAGCTGTCTCGAGGACAGCGCTGGAGTGGAACACAGCCACGCTCAGACCGCGACCTTTAAGCTGTGTGCGAGGAAACAAGGTGCCTTGACAAAGGAATTAGCATTAAAAAATTGCATTTGATTGCCCGACTTAGCATAGAAGTGGTGTACATGCAAGTGCACATGCCGGTTGGCACGGGTGGGGAGGGGGAGTTTCCTTATTGATGGTGTGAAAAGGGAATTTAAGAGCTGCGAAAGTTTGGGGTACCACTACTTGAAAAATATACTGTACCATTGAAAATTTGTTTAATGTTTGGTTCGATTTAGAACAATCGTACAGTATATTTTTCAAGTAGTGGTACCCCAAACTTTCGCAGCTCTTAAATTCCCTTTTCACACCATCAATAGGGAAACTCCCCCTGGCCCCCCCCCCGCGTCAACCGGCATGTGCACTTGCATGTACACCACTTCTATGCTAAGTCGGGCAATCAAATGCTAATTTTTTAGGCTAATTCCTTTGTCAAGGCACCTTGTTTCCTCGCACACAGCTTAAAGGTCGCGGTCTGAGCGTGGCTATGTTCCACTCCATCGCTGTCCTCGACAGCCTGATCCCTTCACCTGATGAAGGCCGCTTGTGTTGTGGCCAAAACGTCGTTATTTTTTGTTGTTTTATTTTTTACCTACGTGACTTTACTGAATAGAACCAAAGAGTAAGGATCCTTGCAGTCACGAAAGCTTTAAATCTAGAATTTACAAACTGAGTCCGACGTTTTGCCAGTAATTAAAACTAGCTTCCTCAGACTAAAAGAACATCAGAGAAATATTAAATCATCCCAAATGCAACGGTCAGCAGTAGCAGAACACGCATGCCAACAAGGACACTCAATTGAGTTTGATAATGTTGGAGTTTTGTGCAAAACTAGCGACTACTGGCCAAGACTAATTAGAGAATCTATCCCAATTGAAAGAAATCAAAATAACTTTAACTGTTCAGACAGCTACCGTCTTAGTGCTGCGTGGAAGCGAATCATCAAATCATACATGTAAATGCATGCCTACAAAGGGCAGCGTACATCAATAGGGATTACCGTTGGTAGGGCTATTTTAATAAACACAATAGACAGGAAGGACAAGTTCAAAGGGCTCGCATAATGCACATGGATAATGCACGTTGCCTCAGTAATCACCCCCCCCTATCAGTGTGCAAGAGTGCTGAAGGGTGGTCAACACATTTACGCCTCTATATAAGGAACAAAACAGTAAGACTTCTCCACAAATCTGATTAAGCTAGTTGTAATTACTGGTGAAGCGTCGTACTCACTTCGTAAATGTTGTGGCTTGGCTCTCCAACACACCGGTGTGCTGTACTAGTGATGAATTGGCATGTTCTGTTTACGTGACAACCCTTACTAAATCTTGACTTATAGCTTTCGTTACTGCAGGAATTCATATTCTTTGGTCTTTCGGTAAACTCACGTAGATAGGTTCAAAGAAAATAATAAAAAAATAACAGAAAACTACGACGTTTTGATTGCAACGCAAGCGGTCGTCTTCAGGAAAAGGGGGGTTAGCTTCCAAGGGAAACTTTATAAGGGTTTGAAATGGGCGTAGCCCAAATGTCAGCAGCCAATGATAATGTAAGTGTTCGGCAAGGAGCCCGGCAGTGGTTCATTTTCCACTAATAAAAGGGCTGCCAGGTGGAAATTAGCATGTTAAAGAGAGATTAGCATTATTACTTAAGTCATTATGTCATTATGACTTAAGTCATAATTGGCTATGATGTTCCCATTCTAACAGTGTTAACGGCAGATCGCAGAGCCGCAACCAAGGGGTCGGCGCGCAAAGTGACTGTGAAAGCACAAGTTTGAAATGGGCATAAATCACAACTAACATTGGAAGATGATTATTTTTTTTGAACCTATCTACGTGACTTTACCGAAAGACCCAAAAATATGAACCCTTACTAGTTGGTGGTTGCGGGTTTTAACGACACATTTATATATGTACGCCATCTAACCCAAACACCTCTTATGGATGATATTGGTCGTGAAAGCCTACGTGTTAAATTGAATATGATTCAGTTTCCTATGTCAGCTGTTATTTCTGACTCTTGTGTGTGTGTGTCTCTCTCTGCCTCTCTCTTAGATCTCTCATGCTCACATGTCCTTTGCATTGCACTCTCATGCCTTGGGATTTGTACTCTCATGCTCACATGTCCTTTGGATTGCAATTTCATACCTTTGGATTGCACCACTCTTCGATCTTACATTAACATGATAATCTCTCACATTAACATAGCCACTTTCATGCCCTCGTCGAGGAGGCTGCTCTCCGTTCTTACATTTACATGCTAATTTGTCACATTAACATCACTAGCCCCATCCACTTATTTATGACCCTTGGGCTACACCCATTTCAAGCCTTTTAAAGCAGTCTGCCTCAGCAGCAGATCATGCTTTCCCACCTGATGACGGACGCTTGTGTTGCGTCCGAAACGTCGTGATTTATTTTATTTTCTACCTACGTGACTTTACCGAAAGAACCAAAGAGTATGGATTCCTGCAGTCACGAACGCTTCAAATCAAGATTGAATATGATTATCAATGTGATGTAGTAACTTCATCTAGCTTTATTCCTGTGTTCATTACGTATTGAATCGACTGCTGTAACTCTCCTCTGGCCTTCCCAAGTCTCTCACCTCCAACTGATCCGCAGTGCCACTGCCAGACCTCTTACCCCCACTCCGAAACAAGACCTAGTTACCTAAATCATGGAATCCCTCTCATGGCTTTCCAATCAATTTCTAAATCAACTCCAATATCCACCTTCAGTATCTTGAAGATCCTCAATGGACTCACCTCTGCTTGCTTCTTCCTTCCCTCTCATGATCGTCCCGGTCATGTGCCCTCCGCTACAAACACCAAGGCTTTCTATCAAAAAACACCACCCAACCTTCGATTCAATGTAAGGTCATTTCTCTGCAGGGGCCCTAATACCCTGGAATTCTTTCCTGGATATGTGGTCAATATCCAGGCCCCAACACTTTTTTTTTCTCATCTGCCTGTGACTGTCTCTTGTTTATAAAATGTCTTCAGTCACACCTCACGATACCATCATCTCCAAACTTTGCCAGGATCTCCCTTATCTCCTCCCCCCTTCCAAAATCATACGTATCTCTCCGTCTGCTTGATGCATAAAATCACCCTATTTTAATACAGTTCCTTGATATGCTATCACGTTTGTACGACGTGTACATATAAACTGTATTGTCATCGTATTACAACATTGTAAGACCACGATCCCCATTGTGTGGCAAGTACTTGAAATGTAAGTGAATGCTTTTCTTGGACCAAGGCACTGGACCTGTACACGGATGACTGGAACAAGGTGTCGGAGCACGTGGGCAGCCGCACTCAAGATGAGTGCATTCTTCACTTCCTGCGGCTACCCATCGAAGACCCCTACCTGGAGGCAAGTCCCCTGCATGTCCCCTTGAGAGCTTCACAGACTCTGCTGGGTGGCAAAGTTTTTCTTCGTCGTGCAGATGAGCGGCTCCGGGCCCAATGCTCGTGTCAGAGAACTTGGTCCAGCAATCACGCAAGATTCTGTTGTTCAGATCTAGGGTTGACATCTTAGATAATCAGTTTAACACGTAGGCTTTCGCGAGCAATATTATTCATAATAAAGGTTTTTGGGTTAGATCGCGTTATTTATAGATGTGTCGTAACCCTCCACCACCCGACACGGCCAATCAGCAAAAAAGTGTCACGTTGACCAAAGACAAATAGTTCACTACTTTAGCCCACCGGCGTGTTGAAGAGTGAATCCACAACATTTACAGTTTGAGTATGACGTTTCACTGGTAATTACATCCAGCATCATCGGGCCATTCGCCAGAATGGTAAAGCCCTCACTTGCTCCCGGTCTTAAATAGAGCAGCAGGGTGACGTCATCATTTAACTCATTCAGGTGCAGTGATTTGAGGCGGAGGGGGGGGGGTATTGTAATTATATAATCGATTGGTTATCGGTCAATGGTTATGATTAGTAATGAGTTGTAGGTTAATAATTAGTTGTAATGTGTGTTATTGTGATTATATGCTACGTTAGTAATCTGTTATTGAGTATGTGTTTCCCCTTTAAGGAATTGTAATATGTATTATTTAATAATACGCTTCCAAGCCGCACTAAGCCTGTAGCTGTCAGAGCGATTAAAGTTATTTCTATTTCTCTCAATTTCAATGGATTCTCTAATTAGTCTTGGCCAGTCATAATTAGTTTTACACAACACTTCAACATTATCAAAATCAATTGAGTGTCCTTGTTGACAAGCATGTTCTGCCACTGCCGACAGTTGTGTTTGAGATAATTTAATATTTCTTTGGTGTTCTTTTAGTCGTATTCTGATGTTACGTCCCGTCTGTCCAATATAGCATATGCCACATAAACAATTAATCCGATATACACCTTCTGTTGATAATTTAGGTAATTCATCTTTAGTGCAAGATACTAGTTTTTGAATTTTGTGTACTGTACCAAATCTTACTGTAATGTTTTGCATTTGCAAAATACGGGCTAATTTTTCAGTTACCCCTGAGATATATAGTATTTTAATTGTTTTAACAATCTGATCGCTTTCAGCAGTGTTGCTTTGCGATTGTGATTTGGCATTCAGTGCTCTGTTAATTTGAGTATTGTAGCCATTCTGTCGTAATGCTTCTTTAACGTTTGTCTTTTGTCAACGTGACACTTTTTTGCTGATTGGCCGTGTCGGGTGGTGGAGGGTTACGACACATTTATAAATAACGCGATCTAACCCAAAAACCTTTATTATGAATCTTAGATGATCTTGATTTGAAGCTTTCGTGACTGCAGGAATCCATATTCTTTGGTTCTTTCGGTAAAGTCACATAGGTAGAATTTTTTTATTTTTCTACCTATGTGATTTTACCAAAAGAACCAAAGAGTATCTTAAATGATATAAAATAAAAACTCATTCAATTCATGATTCACACAGTCTCATGATGGAAAAAAACACATTCTGTATTACTAAACTAAACTATTTTTTATTTTACCAGGTCAGGCCCACTGAGCTAAAAAGCTCTTTTTCAGAAGAAACCTGGCCACAAATGATAGCTCGATAAAGTAGCTTTATGTGGAAGTTTATAGCAGCCAAATACTCTTAAACGCACTTTGATTCTAAATGGCGAATGTGTCAAGAGTTGAGAGAGCAGAAAGATTAATAGACTTAGAATTGGAGATCACTTACATTTTTTACATTGAGGTGTCTCAAAAAATATATATGCGTGGTTTAAATGTTATTTTCACTTTCACCGAGATCAAAACATGCACACGGTTTGAGCTGAGTGAAATTTTTCCAGGATGTAAAAAAAAACGAAAATGGGGTTTTCCTTGTGTTGCCACTGCAGGCCAGCAGAAACACCCTGGTTTAGTGTGACTTGTCTCACCTAAAGAGAGTTGACTTGGCAACATTGAGCTCCACTTGAAAGTCATTCCTTTACTCCCAGGGCGTGCTGTCATCCCATTGCCCGTGAGCAGTTCTGTAGTCTTCATGTAACATTTTGAAAGCACGTTAGTTGGGCTAAGTCTGTCAGTTGTAGAAGTCAGTCTTTCCGCCCTCTCCTCTGAAGAAGGATTGTCGAACACGTTAACAATAATAATATACAGCCGCTTGTCAATCCACTGAAGGTCTGCCCACGCAGTGTCAGTCATCCTGGTTGTTTGACATCACGCAAACTTTGTTCATCCTCACAGCTACTTTTGGCGAGCCATCAGACAAAGACGGTCACCACATCGTGTGCTTTCAGATGCGCTTCTGCAGCAGTCTGGAACGCTCTTTCTTCCCATATTAGGAAGCCACTGGAGCTATGCACTTTTAAATAATCAAGATTGAAAACTAATTTCTTTAGAACAGTTTTTTGTGTAGAGTTTATTGTCATTCTCCCGCACCTCTGATTAGCATGGTTGGCTATGTATGGTACGAAAGAAGTTCAACATACATACATGCGTACATACTACAGTGAAGTAAGGTTGGGGAAAAGGACTGCTGCATAAATAACTCACCACCACAGTATACACTCTTAAGTGTACCAAAGCAATATCGAGTGTGATGCTTTTCCGTTGAACATCTGCCACGTTAGTGTTGTTGTTCAGGTGGTGGTGGTGATGATGATGTCTCCATTCCAACAGGAGTCCGAAGCGTCCATGGGTCCGCTGGCCTATCAGCCGGTTCCATTCAGCCGCTCAGGGAATCCTGTCATGAGCACGGTGGCATTTCTGGCTTCTGTTGTGGACCCACGCGTGGCCTCCGCAGCGGCCAAGGCTGCCCTGGGTGAGTGTCTTGCACATACAGTGAGGGAAAAAAGTATTTGATCCCCTGCTGATTTTGTACGTTTGCCCACTAACAAAGAAATTATCAGTCTATAATTTTAATGGTAGGTTTATTTGAACAGTGAGAGACAGAATAACAACAAAAACATCCAGAAAAACGCATGTCAAAAATGTTTTTAATTGATTTGCATTTTAATGAGGGAAATAAATAATTGCCCCCTCTGCAAAACATGACTAAGTACTTGGTGGCAAAACCCTTGTTGGCAATCACAGAGGTCAGACGTTTCTTGTAGTTGGCCACCAGGTTTGTACACATCTCAGGAGAGATTTTGTCCCACTCCTCTTTGCAGATCTTCTCCACGTCATTAAGGTTTTAAGGCTGACGTTTGGCAACTCGAACCTTCAGCTCCCTCCACAGATTTTCTATGGGATTAAGGTCTGGAGACTGGCTAGGCCACTCCAGGACCTTAATGTGCTTCTTCTTGAGCCACTCCTTTGTTGCCTTGGCCGTGTGTTTTGGGTCATTGTCATGCTGGAATAACCATCCACGACCCATTTTCAATGCCCTGGCTGAGGGAAGGAAGTTCTCACCCAAGATTTGACGACACATGGCCCCATCCATCGTCCCTTTGATGCGGTGAAGTTGTCCTGTCCCCTTAGCAGAAAAACACCCCCAAAGCATAATGTTTCCACCATGTTTGACGGTGGGGATGGTGTTCTTGGGGTCATAGGCAGCATTCCTCCTCCTCCAAACACGGCGAGTTGAGTTGATGCCAAAGAGCTCCATTTTGGTCTCATCTGACCACAACACTTTCACCCAGTTGTCCTCGGAATCATTCAGATGTTCATTGGCAAACTTCAGACGGGCATGTATACGTGCTTTCTTGAGCAGGGGGACATTGCGGGTGCTGCAGGATTTCAGTCCTTCACGGCGTAGAGTGTTACCAATTGTTTTCTTGGTTACTATGGTCCCAGCTGCCTTGAGATAATTGACAAGATCCTCCCGTGTAGTTCTGGGCTGATTCCTCACCGTTCTCATGATCATTGCAACTCCACAAGATGAGATCTTGCATGGAGCCCCAGGCCAAGGGAGATTGACAGTTCTTTTGTGTTTCTTCCATTTGCGAATAATCGCACCAACTGTTGTCACCTTCTCACCAAGCTGCTTGGCAATGGTCTTGTAGCCCATTCCAGCCTTGTGTAGGTCTACAATCTTGTCCCTGACTTCCTTGGAGAGCTCTTTGGTCTTGGCCATGGTGGAGAGTTTGGAATCTGATTGATTGCTTCTGTGGACAGGTGTCTTTTATACAGGTAACAAGCTGAGATTAGGAGCACTCCCTTTAAGAGTGTGCTCCTAATCTCAGCTCGTTACCTGTATAAAAGATACCTGGAAGCCAGAAATCTTTCTGATTGAGAGGGGGTCAAATGCTTACTTCCCTCATTAAAATGCAAATCATTTATAACATTTTTAACATGCGTTTTTCTGGATTTTGTTGTTGTTATTCTGTCTCACTGTTCAAATAAATCTACCATTAAAATTATAGACTGATCATTTCTTTGTCAGTGGGCAAACGTACAAAATCAGCAGGGGATCAAATACTTTTTTCCCCTCACTGTAATGGCACATGTAAATGTAATTAATTAATCAATGTATATTTCTACATGGGTATGGTATAACATATATGTACTCAACGCATAAAACTGTAGCGACACGACCGCACTCTGATAGCTGGTGCTAAATTATGCCACACACCCTCCCGCGTGTGGGGAGCGGTGGTGTAGCGGTTAGCGTGCTGCGCTACGAACTCGGCGACCCGAGTTCGATTTCCGCTCATGGCCAACACCAGTGACGATTAAATTAACCGGTCCTGGGCCTCCCCTAGGTCGACTCAGGCTCAAATGAGTACCTAGTGCGATGTGTAAACATCGTCACTGGGAAGACAAAGGCGGCCGTGCGTGTTGTTGGCCACTCACCCCCTCATGTGCCTTGCTTGCCTTCATAAGTGGTCACTAACAGCACTTGCCCCAACAGTCTTGTAAGGCTATACATGGGATCTTTGTCTTTTTGTAATGTTATTTTTACACCAGGCCTCCCCTAAAATGAGACGTTTAATCTCACCTGGTCATAAAGGTAATGACAGTGATTAATAACGATGGAGTGATGTTCTTCCATGAACGCGTTAGGCATTGATCGGTGCTCATCACCGCACGCTGACCAGGCTAAAATGTACACTTCTTGTTTGTTTGTGTGTGTTTAGAGGAGTTCTCGCACAGAAGAGTCCTGCTACCTCCTGATCTTGCAAGAGTGGATGATAAGAAAGAGGAGATCATACTCACACAGGAGCAGCAGCAGCACAAAACCAGTAAGATCATCATCGTATACATATACAAGACGCGTCTCTTCTGCTGTGAGTGGAAGGGAAGAGTGGAGTAATGTGTTTAAAGAAAAAGCGTATTACCCCATGAAAACACTGCGAAACCTGAAATAATTGATATGTACATGTTGTGGGTTTACTCTCAACACCGTTGTGCTGAAACATTAACTAATTGGCACGTTTTGTTTACGTGATAAATCTACTAAATGGATATGTTGGGTGGTGGCAGGTTAATGACACATTTATATTTATGCAATATAACCCCAAAAAAGCTTTATTATAGATGTGGGTAACAATTATTGTATTCCACTTCAATGCAGAAGTATTTTTCCCGAAAGTTGCTCGTCCTCCTGCCCTTTCTGAACAATAAAGCCATTGTTATATACAATTTGACCTAATTTGTCACCAAAGCAATACATTTACATCCTGCGTCATAAAAGGGGAAAGCTGGTGGCATGACGGTAGTTGTGCCGTGTGACGAACACGGTGGCCGGAGTTCATACCCCGGCCATGGCTGCAACCGGTGGTGAGTGGTATTGGAACTGGCCTGCAATGACCAGCATGGCGAAATATGGTAAAACAACTCCCTCACGACCTGGACGGCCTTCATTTGTGTGTGTGTGTGTATGTTGAACTTATTTCGCACTGTACATAGCCAACCGTTCTAATCGGAGGTGCGGTGTATGTATGTTGAACTTCTTTCGCACCGTACGTAGCCAACCATGCTAATCGGAGGTGCGGTGAATGTAAACATGTATGTTGAACTTCCTTCGCACCATACGTAACCAATCATGCTAAGCGGAGGTGCGGTGTATCTATACATGCATGTTGAACTTATTTCAGCCAGCTAGGGTTATGTTGGGGGCATGATACTCTGGCTGACCTGGGGACATGTGACCGGATGATGCTGGAGGGGGGCCACCTGTGGAGGGGGCCAATGGGTGGTCACATGGTCCGGGAAGAACTCTCGAGAACCTTCAGGTAAAGGCGAGAGAGATCTGGAAGGTGGGCGGGGCAAGAGGCGGAGCCGGCCCCAGCCCGGCCCGATATAAGGTTGGCCCTGTGAGGGGCTCGGGGTTCTTACTGTTGGAGAGGCAGGAGATCCACGTCAAGCATGAAGAAGCCTCCAGCCACGCAGTCCGGGACCCAGCTTGTGGTCCGGACCGGCATAGTGGAATCGTGTCTAGTTCCACCGTAGCGTGGTTAGTTGGGTGGTCACCACCCGAGAGTATGTTGTGTCAATAGCCTGGAGTATGTTGTGCTTAGAGTTTAATAAAACGTGTTTCTTCCAAGACAACGTCTGCGACTCAGTTGGATTCACTACACATACATACACCGCACCTCCGATTAGCACAATTGGCTGTGTATGATGCTAAAGAAGTTAAACATACATACATACATACACCGCACCTCCGATTAGCATAGTTGGCTACGTACAATGCAAAAGAAGTTCAACATTCATATGTATTTTTATAGATTTTAAATAGTTAATCTGTATTTGAAACTCCTATGTGTGTTGAATGCTTGCTATTTGCAGTGTCTTAGATTTTGGACCATTTTGTTTGCTTATGTGTTGCCATGATCTAGACACTTTATCTTTGGTAGGTTTTCAACTATACGTTTTTAATTGACTGTTGTTGCATTTGAAGGTACTGAAGATTCCAAGCTCGGAATTGGCAATAATGAGGATGAAAAGAGCAAGGTAAGGCCACCGTAATTATTAAATGGAAATCTAAGCACAGCAGTGATGTAGATAAACAAAAATTGCTTTTGTATCTGAAGTAGCTTATTATTTAATGTCTCTTAGTCTGCAAATCTATCATTAACCCTTTCCCGTTCCAAGACGTACTACAAGTTGGAGGGTGGGTGGGTGTCCCGTTCACCGCTGAATCTCGGAACGTGCGAGCGTATTCAGCGTTAATTTTATTTAGAGGCGTGGTAGCACCGTTTTCTAAAGACGTTATTACTCACCAGGGAGAACCCTCGTGACACGACCACCACACTACGATAGCTGGAGCCAAACTGTGCCACACGCCCTCTCGCGTGGCCTTCTTTCGATTTCACTTCCGATTATATAATCGGAATGGAATCGTCAGAAAATCCGATGACCTACACGTACGTCATCAGAATGGGTTCAAGACAGAAACAAAGTCTGTGCAACAAATCTCTAAATAGCCATTATGCTGTCATCCATTTCAATAAACATTATCTCCCTGAATGGAAATAATCCCTCAGAACTCCGCATTAAACGTGAAGGAATCTCATCCCAGGAATGTGAAGGAATCTCACACCGGATCTGACTTGTCCTGATAATCTCCTTCATAAATCATTAGGAACAGGTGCTTGTATTGACTTAAAGCTTTCGTGACTGCAGGAATTCATATTCTTGGGTCTTTCGGCAAAATCACGTAGATAGGTTCAAAGAAAATAAAAAATAACAAAAAACTACGACGTTTCGATCGCAACACAAGCAGTCGTCTTCAGGAAAAGGGGGGTTAGCTTCCAAGGCAAACTGTTTATATGTAAGTGGTGGGCAGCCAACCTGACGGTGGTTGGTTTTCCACCAATCAAAGGGCTGCCAGGTGAAAATTAGCATGTTAATGAGAGATTACCATGTTAATGGTAGATCGCGGAACCGCAACCAAGGGGTTGGCACGCGAAGTGACTGTTAGTGTGAACCCTGTGAAAGCGCAAGTTTGAAATGGCCGTAAAGCACAACTAACATCGGAAGGTGGTAGGATGGGAACATCATAGCCATTTATGACTTCAACTGGTTGATTATTATTTTCTTTGAACCTATCGACGTGACTTTACCGAAAGACCCAATAGGTGCTTGTATGTTCAGCCTGGTACATCATGGGGGGGGGAGAGTTGCTTACATTTCTCAGAACAAAGCATTCCCTATCTATGGGACCTTTTTGCCAGTATCAAAAATGATGAAAAATAATAATAGGTTTTACCCTTTCTGTCCATAAAACAGGAGGTGTTAAGATACTTGCATTGTATTTGTACTGTTCGCCTCTTGGCGTTCTCTCGTCTAACACTGGTATTGAGCCTAGGCCATAAAGAAGGCTGCTGTCTGGTTTAAGCCAATCAGTTTCAAAGACAATGCATATATTGTCAGAACATGTTTGTGTGCATGTTTTGCCACAAGTATGTGTGCTGAATGCAGACTTTGATGCCTTGCAATAGCTGTCTATTTGGTGTTTGAACATCTTAACACCTCCTGTTTTATTGCCAGAAAGGGTAAAACCTATAATTTTTTCATCAAAGCATTACCTTTCCAGGACCAGTCCGTCCAAATCTGCTGCGTTGCTTTGTTTTCTTCTGATTTACTCCCTTAAGATGTGGAGGTCTAGTTTGTTGGTCATAACGAGCAAACGTTTTGTCTTGATAGGAAGGAGTGGCGACTGAATATGGTGTGGTCAAGGTGGAGGCTGGCAACAGGGAGGAGACGAGGGAGGAGCAAGGTTGGGATGACATTTTAATCAACTCAGCCGCGTGATCATAGTCTCAAGTCACTCAAATAATCCACTATTCTATCCAATGTACAACCTACATTTTCTTTTGGTACTCTTGTTCAATTAATTCGGGTGTTGTTACAGTCCTCATTTACCTTTAAAAAAAAACACATGGCTTAGCTTTCCTATACTTTGCACTCCTATTGGTTTTTGTATTGTTTGTTGTAAGTTTATGACCCCGTGCCCTTCCTGGACATCTGAAAAAAGAGCTTCATAGCTCATCGGATTCCTCCTCCATTCTAAATAAATATTCTGATAAAGATTCTGACATCCAGGGTGTGGCTGTGATCGCACGAACCGCATGCATTCTAAGATGAGCTTTCTATTCAGTTGTTTGCTGTCATTGGTTTTAGATGCGGTAAAACCCCGTGATACGTCTCTCCCTTTTACGTCATTTCGCAAATACATCGTCGCTTTATTAATACCGCTACCCGCTTTGTATCGCCTCAACCCAAACACACTCTTAACGTCGCTGACAGCATCGTCGGCCGTCCTTACTCGTTATCCGTCGCCTCTCGGCATTCGCCTCCACCTACCCTGCACACAAACTACTTTACATATTCTTGGTTCTTTCGGTAAAGTCACGTGACTTTACCGAAAGAACCAAGAATATGAATCCCTGCAGTGACAAAAGCTTTAAATAAAAAACTACTTTACGTCGCGCGTAAAGAAATGTACTGTCGAATACAATATTATTCACGTACAATATATGACGTTTTTATAGTGTACTCTTTCTGTATAATTTGTGTTAAATTCTAGATTTGAAGCTTTCGTGACTGCAAGGATCCATACTCTTTGGTTCTATTCGGTAAAGTCACGTAGGTAAAAAATTAAAACAACAAAAATCACGACGTTTCGGCCACAACACAAGCAGCCTTCATCAGGTGAAGGGACCAACCTGTCCAGCGGACAGCGTTTGAGTGAAGAAAGCCAAGCGCTGGTCGCCTCCCTTTAAGCTGTGAGGGGGCAAACAGCAAACGCCCTGACAAAGGAAATTAGCATGAAACGCACCACTGATAAAGCTTGGAATTAGCACAAGATGATAATACACCACCCTGGGAGTTTGGAATACCACTACTAGAATAAATATACTGTACCATTGAAATTTAGATTTGAAGCTTTCGTGCCTGCAAGGATCCATACTCATTGGTTCTATTAGGTAAAGTCACGTAGGTAAAAAATAAAACAACAAAAATCACGACCTTGGAAGTTTGGAGTGCCACTATTTGAAATAAATATACTGTACCATTGAAATTAGTTTAATGTTTGGTTCGATTTAGAACATCTTTCCAATGGTTGCTTAATTTGAAACCATCTTCTCGGTTGAAATTGTGTCTATGTTTGTAAATCTGAATTGCCTCGTGGACAAATCTCTGATGATAACCTGTCGGTTTGCAAAGGACCTTGGTATCGGAGAAAATTATATCGTGATCACCCACAGCGTTGAAACAATGATCAGCTACGGCAGAATAATTCGTTCTGCTGTGTTTCAAATCTGATTTGTGCTCGCGAATTCGGTCAGAGACATGTCGTTTCGTCTCGATATAGCAATCACCACAAGTGCAGCTCAATTTGTAAACCCCGGGGTACTGTAAATCAGGAATGACATCCTTCACGGATGGGATCAGGTCACGGATTTTGTGTACTGTATTGAACCGGACCAGGATCTTTTGTTTGTTTAGAATTTTGGAGATCTTTTTAGTAACGCCTGCTATATATGGTAGTGTGATGGTTTTGACCGGAGTATCAAGTGGTTGTTTCTGTATGGAGGGAGAAACAGCTTGGCGAATGGTACGGTTAGAGTATCCGTTTTTCTTGAGGGCCAGATGTACGTGTTTTAAGTCACTGGCCAGGTGGTGTTGGTCCGAAATGCAATGAGCCCTGTGGTATAACGTTTTGATGAGATAATTATTTTGAGTCGGGTGGTGGTGGAAATCAGGTTTCAAGTAGGAATCTGTGTGGGTGGGTTTCCTGTAGACAGAATGTCCCAATGAGCCATCAGGTCTCCTCTCAAACAGAACATCCAAGAACGGCAACTTGCCATCTTTCTCCACTTCCATGGTGAATTTGATGGCGGGATGTCTGGAATTGATGTGGTGTTGGAAGAGGCCTCCCAGCTTTGAACCTACTTTACCGAATAGAACCAAAGAGTATGAATTTGTGTTAAAGTTTACTGTTGTACACTAGTGTTTTGATTACAATATTTTTAGTAATTTAATGTCACGTTGTGGGTATGTCTAGGATGAAGATGCACACATTAACACAGCTTCACTGTTGCCTCTGTTGTCTTAACTACCTCACCTGGTATACATGAGGTCATGGGTTCGATACCGACACCTGTATATTTAGAGTTTGTATGTTTCTTTCCCCGTGGTTGTGTGGATTTTTCTCCGGGTCAACCAGTTTTTCCCTCCACATTTAGAAACATGCGTTTAAAATTTAAACGTGATAAGCCACTTCTTTGAGCTATCATTTGTGGCCAGGTCGCTTCTGAAAAAATGCTACATAGCTCAGTGGGTCTTACTTGGTAAAATAACTAATAGTTTAGCTCGTGTGAAAAAAATACTTTTATTACATCGTTTCGATATTCGCCGTCGCACCTTTGAGAAATGCATCCCCCGAAGTAAACGGGGGCGTTACTGTCGTGTGTTACAGTGGGAACAGTGAGTGCTGTTGAAGTGAAGTTTAAACGTGCTCACTGAGTCACTTCAATAAGGTCTTTGGCCATCCAACTTTTCTAATTTCGTGTCACGCTTCCATAATTGATTTGGTGCCAGCAACAGCAATAACAGTTGCACCAAGATTCCATATTTACTGAATGGGTCGTAAATCAAAGTTCAAACTTCGCTGCACTGGTTAATGCCATTTTTGTGGATATGTGGCCCATTATGTTCAGGCACACATGCATGACGTAGGGAATATTTTTAACAATAGGTATGAACACTAATGTCCAACACAATTTGAACAGTATTTTTAACTTTATTGGAGAGAATGTGGCGCAGGGTTGTTAGATATGTAGCCAACCGTCTTTATCGGAGGTAGTGTCGATATGCACATTTAGGAACATCTGCTGTGTCATTATTACTGTTTTTGGGATAGCCTAGCCATGATTTATGAAGGGCGATTATGCATTGCTGCCAAAGTGTATTGTTTGCCAGTTTTGGTTTGCCTCGTAATTTGAGTTCATGGAATTTTTTACTCCTTTGTAGATCACAATTTTGAACTCAATTATTCATGCACAACATTTTTATGGCAACATTTCTAAATTCAGGACACAAATTAGTTTTTATCAGATGCTGTCTTGCTTGTGATACCCCCTCCCGACCAATTTGAAAATGCACAGCTGTTAAGGTTCAGACAGTTACTGTTTCCTTGGTTAATCCCGTACTGCCAATACCAATACCTGCCATTCGCCACTCAGTGACGGTGACGTCACCATGGCGCCTATGCCAGGCCACGTGAAGTGCACTTTGAGGCCACGTGAAGTGTTGAAGGCTCGCTGCTGACAGGTCATGGGACAGACCCAGCAGGTGCCATAGGTTGACTGACTGACTTGCAGATGCACCACCTGTGCCCCCTACACTGCCAATACTGCAAGCAGTTGTGCACCTGCGACCACAACTGTTCTTTGTCATTGACGAATGTTTTGTGTACTATGTATGCTCTCTAATAACTCCTGCCACGCGCTGTCTGTTACTCTGATCAGGTGAGGAGCAAGAAAATAGGTCCAGCAGAAGCAAAGCGGAGACTCCTGCGGAAGCCCTAGGCATGTCGTCCTTGCCAGATGCCAGTATCACTGCAACTGCTGCTGCTGCTGCTCTCATTGCAGCTGCTGCCAAGGCCAAGGTATTGCACTCGCCGCACTGTTCAACTCCACCGTCTCTCCCCGCGTCGTTTTACGCATGGCAATAAAAAAAACCTCTGTGGGTGGAACCACAGTGGAGAGAGAGAGGCTGTATCTTGGCAAGAACGTGATCCACATTTCTCCAAGGCAGCGATGCCGATTTCTGCTTTTAGAAGTGAGCAGAAAAAGTATGTATATATGTCTGTTGAACTTATTTTTCGCATCGCACGAAGCCAACCGTGCTAATTGAGGTGCGTTGAACGAACAACAAACTGAATCGGACGGGAAGCTTCATCTTCACCCACTACAGTTGGGTCCGTCCAACTGTGGCCAGGCAGACAAATTGTATTTGACTCACTTGCATCGAGCATTAATCGGCCAACCCACTACACTCTCGTTCTATCTCGTGAGGACAGAGTATTGAGGGAGAAAAACATCATGGGATTCAATCATGGCGTCAAAAAACAGCACCAGAGTTTGAGACAACTTGGTCTGTCTCAGCCCAGCATATCCTTGCGTGACATTCACGGGGAGTCCTGAAAAGTCTATTGGTGAACAATGTGGCCCAAACCTCCACTGGAGGAGATTACTATACCGGCAGTCATCGTTTAACGGTGGCCCATTTAACGTTCATAAAATATATTTTTTTGTGGTCAGATCGCCTAAATATAAATGTCGTTAAAACCGCCACCAACCAACAGCCCAATTATTGAGGTTTGTCACGTAAACAAAACGTGGAAATTCGTTACTATTTCAGCACACCAGTGTTTTGGAGAGTAAACCCACAACATTTATATTTCGAGTATTGGGACGTTTTGCTGGTAATTACAACCAGGCAACAGCCAGAATTTTTGAGAAATCCTCCTGTTTCGGTCTTCAAACAACGTGTAGCATTGTTTCACTTATATTAGCGTTTACCCATGATGCTCCACAGAGATGCATAATCAGTCCGTACGATGCTGTGCAATTTGTATTTTTTTTGGCTCCTATGTATTGCTCACTTCAATATTTATATTTTTGGTATCCTTGTTTTTCCGCTTAAAGCAACTGGCAGCTGTGGAGGAACGCAAGATCAAGTCACTGGTGGCGCTGTTGGTGGAGACCCAAATGAAGAAGCTCGAGATCAAGCTGAGACATTTCGAGGAGCTGGAGACCATCATGGACCGTGAGCGGGAGTCGGTGAGTCACTTCTCATTGTCTCCTGGCAATTGAAAACGGTCGGGGGGGGGGGGGAGATTTGATGCTTTTCTGAAAGGTGCAACGACGAATATCGAAACGACGTCAATCAAAGCAATATATCGGGAGACGTAGCCTGCATGCCACGAGAGCTAAGCAAATACAACGCGGAGGGTACGGTGATGCTCTGTTAATGCACGCATCTGCATCCTAGTTGTACCCACAACGTTACATTAACTTAGTATACTATACTCAACACTAGTGTACAGTGGCAGACTTTAGCACAAATGATACAGATACAGTACAATTTTAAAAATCACCAAAATGCCAGACATGAATAATATATTGTACTCCATAATGCATTTCTTTATGCGCGACGCAAAGTAGTTTGTGTGCAGGGTAGTGGGTGTAGGTGAAGGCTGAGAGGCGGCGAATAACGAGAAAGGACAGATGACGATGCTGTCGGCGATGTTAGAGTACGTTGAGGCGACGCAAATCAGGTCGCGGTGTTAATAAAGCGACGCTGTATTTACGAAACGACACCAAAGGGGGAGACGTAAATTTGGGTATCACAAGTATAGTAAATAGATCGGCGTCTTGTAGAGAAAATCTTAGAAATCAGTTTGACGGAAAGAGAGTGATCAGTTGGTACGAGAACTGGTTCAGGATGAAAGGTTATTGATAATTCCTAGAAGGCAAAATATGTAGATTGGGCGTATATTAAGAAGGGGAGGAAGGCTTGCTTTACAATTTGGGAACATATAAAGTAGTTTGAAACTAATTTGGACATTGTATGGGAAATGTAGCAAACATATAGGCGGTCCGGGCTTTAACGACGTCACAGCGCGTTCCTGGAAAGCCAGTCATAGTAAATCGGCCCCTATTTTCCCCATAGACAGTAGAAGCAGTAGAAACATCACTTGCCGATGTGTTTTTTCCTTTTATCAGACATATTTAAGAGGGTTTATTTAATAGGTACAAGTCCACACAAAACACTTAGAGAGTAACAAAAGCTCCACGCCAAATCACATCGGATGACTGACTGTTCAAATCCGTTCTGAATAGTGTCAGAAAATCCGTTGTGAATCCAGTTTCTGCATCGCAAACCGATCCATGGTGGCATTGTGTAAACGTCGTAAATGGGACTGTCGTAAACTGGAGACCACCTGTACACATAACTGCAGGATATTGCATTGCTGTACGGTGTGTGTTGAAATTAAACCTCCCCGCGCATGCGTGCGCCCCCATGTACCTGTTTTTTTGTGAGTGAAGCTGGAGTATCAACGGCAACAGCTTCTCTCCGATCGCAGCACCTTTCACTTGGAGCAGATAAAGCTGGCAGAGCTGCGTGCAAGGCAACTACAACAGCAGCAATTGCAGCAGCAGCAGACTTGTGGACCGACAGGAGAGCACATTGGAGCAGTGCACACTCAAGGTAGCAAACAAATAAGCTTGTAGATGGATGCCGTGCGGCCAAGACTGTTATCTGTTGTTGTTGGTTCCCTTCGGTGTGTTAACCCTGTGTGGTCAAGAAACCACCGTGCAAACATCATACCTCACACGAGCCCAAGGACAACATTTTTCCACAAAGATTTGGCAAAATAGTGTGCTCCCCACGTTCATCCATCAACCCAACACCTGACAACTGCCGCCTGTCGTATTTTCGGACCCTTTGAAGAATGACATTCATAGGGAGAAAGAAATTATCAAAAATTAGTCATGGGGATTGTTTGATCATACTTCACCATGCTGTTCAATGCGGGATGGAGGAATGAAAAAAATCCTTTTCAATACCTTGGTGTCATAACAAGCCAGAGTCCCCACTTTTTCTATTGTGATGCATAGTATGGCATGTATGTAGAACTTCTTTCGCACTGTACGTAGCCAACCATGCTAATCGGAGGTGTGGAGGAAGGACGATAATCTAAACACCTAAGATGTAATGAGACTCATCCACATAAACGCGTCAACTTTTTTCGCACCTCGGATTAGCAGAATTGACTATGTATGGTGCGAAAGAAGTTCAACATACACACATTCACATCATTAGGTGAATTAGGAATAATATGATTTTAACTATACGAATCTTACACAGTAAACTATCTTAAAATGATGCCTACCGTGCTTGACTCGTGTTGTAAGGAACATCCGTATTTTTCAAATCGTTGACAATGGAACTGACCACTTAAGCGCATTGTCGTGATTAGGTTTCCCTAATAGAGCACGCTGCTGAACTGTGAACAAAGTTTAAATTGAGTTCAAACGCACATTGTGGTGCTTCTTGCTGACGTGTTGTTTTCTAACTTCCTCCTGCAGATCAACCATAACGCTTGGGGAGGAGAGTCAATTCCTGAAGCTGTTGACAAATATCCACTGCATTGTTGATGTATGTTCAAGAGGCTCATAAATGGACACAGCCAGTGACTGATTGTAGCCAGATCTGTTCGTAACACTGTTCCGGAAATTATTTTGGCAAGCCACATCCACCTCCACTTATTTTGTCCTAATTTTTAGAAAGTTGTTTATGGGAGAATAGGAAAAAAGGGTTATTATGAATAATCTAGGATTATTACCGAAAAGCAAACCTTGTACTCTCATGGTAGTGCCGTACGCCGGTAATCTCTACTCCCTGAGCCAGCCTGAAAGTGTTCTGGGAACAAAATTTGAGTGAGGCCCTGGACACAGCGGAACCCAAATTGCTATGTTGTAAATGGTTCATTTAATTACATTCCTCGTGTAACTTGACCTCTGTCGTTGTAAAATTGAGGCTTGCAAACATGATTTAATGTATGACAAACAGCCTTTGTGTAAAGCAAGGTGGTAAGTGTGTTTTTGTAAGGATTGGTACAAATTAATTTTGTTAATTAATGATGTGGCACATTTACCCTTTTAATAGGATGTGGCAGATGTTATCCACTCATGTTGCATAAATTCAGGGTAGGCATGGTTCAGATTGTGTTTATGCAAACTGTTTTTACATCTTGTATATTTTTTACGCAAAATCAAATGTTTGTCTTCTCTCCGTAATGAAATTTGAGACGGGTTAAGACACCTACCCTAATTTAAGTGAAATCTGTGAGCCAGTGTTTTTGTAAAGGTTGTGCTGTTTATTTATATTCATTAAAGCAATGTTAACGTCTTCATATACCAAACGTGACGTGTGTAAGTGAGTGAAGCCTTATCCTGTCAACTCCTATATCATTTTAGCATGACTTGAGCATTTGAAATGTGCATCTATACAGTTTAAACTATTTAAACTATATTTTAGTTTACTTGGTAAGGCCCACTGAGCTATGTAGCACTTTTGCAGAAGCGACCTAGTCACAAACGATAGCTCAACAGTGGATTATCAAGTGGAAATGTATCGCAGCCAAATACCCTAAACACGTGATGTTGATTCTAAATGTGGAGGGAAAAACAGGAGGACCCGAAGAAAAATCCACTTGACCATGGGAAGAACACGCAAACTCCAAATATCCAGGCATCAGTGTCGGTATCGACCCCCTGTATACGAGCCGAGGTAGTTAACATTTCACCACCCACACCATAGAGTAATAATATGCCGGTTGGTATTCTTTGTATTGGCTGAGAGCCCATGCGCTTTCTCAAAGGATGCATTAAATTACAGATCCACACTGTACCCAGAACAAAAGGTGAATAACAAACTCTTGCATATTGCTAACAAGACCACAGTTACTGAAGTGGTGGTGTATAATTAATACGAATAGTGTTTTTTGTTACATTAATAAGTAAACCGTACAGTTGCTTATAACTTAAATTATGTTGAAGCTTAATTTGTGTTTTTATTTATATATTTTAGAGATGTTATCAGGTTATACGTGTAAATTATACCATTTTACATGTAGCAAATGCTGCGTGAACCCAGTGATAACGTGCCTGTTCTCGAGGCATAGCTTCCGTGCCTCTTGCTACTTTCGTAGCCGGCGCCTGACTTGCAGAAGCTGTTGTACCGCCTCCCATCCTTCACGTGACCCACGTCATCAAGCTGGCTCAGCCATCCAGTCATCGTGACCCTAATCCATTCTCTGGGAGCCCCCCTCCATATGGTCTTCACATGCACATCCCTAGAGATTTCACGGTCTCGTTAAGAGTCCGTATTTCTTTTGGAGTTCCCTTACGCCAAATCACCACGCTACTTTGTTATGGTAATATGTGCAGTGCTGCAAGTTTCTTTTTAATGGTGTTAAAACACGTTTTGTGAGCAAGGATTGATGCACCCTCCCAACTTCTGGGAAAACCCATGAGCACCAATCGGCCTTCCTGCACTAAATAGCCCCCGGTCTCACTCTCCAGTGCTGCTGTTGTAAGCCACCTCGAATTTCTGTGGTGACCGGTGCCGTTCAAGCACTCGGGAGAGGCTGCCCCAGAAGCCATGATGGCTAACAGAGGAAGTGTTGATATCTGGCTGGGAATAATGGAAAGCCCATTCTCAGGCTCGCTCACACTCCCGATGAAAAATTATCCATTGGAAGTCAAGCCCACGGAGCGTCGTGGCAAGCGGCTTCTTCGTATTCTTCTTAATGTTGCATTTTTTAAAATAGTTTGAACTAGTTTTACTAATGCAGAATGATTCTCAACATCTCAGTTCAATTGTAAACTTTTTTTCATTTCACAATCACATTTTCCATCATTTGATGATAATTTGCTTTATAAGCCGACTGTATATGTAGCAATGTCATTTAATAAAGTAATTGTATATACGTTTCTGTCCAAGGGATATTCTCAAGTTCTGACTCACATGCTCTATCTATGAGGTATCATTACTTCTCCCTGTCGTTCGTCTCGTATCGACTGCCTTGTTTATTTAGTTTTTATTCTTTGGACTCCTTTGTATTGCTTGGTGTATTGTGTCACGTCTTGTTTATCCACATTTGTCATGTGTAATGCATGTCAATCTTGTTTATACTGTCCGCATTATTAGTACTGCTTGTATCGCGTGCAATGCTTGTCACAGTACGGTCTCGCTTGTACTGTGTGCATTTGTACTGCGTTTTCACGCGAACTCCGATCATCTTCGCAGCAGCAGCGGCATTTGGCTGGCCATCAAACAAAGACGGTCACGGCTTCGCGTGCTTTCAAAATGCGCTTCTGCAGCCGTCTGTGTACATTGAAAACTAATTTCTTTCGAGCTGCTTTTTGTGTTTAGTGTGTTGTCATTACCCCGCCCCTTCGATAAGCACGGTTGGCTGTGTACAGTGCGAAAGAAGTTCAACATGCAAACATTCACTTACTCCATGACATATCCTGCTGTCGGTCCCCATCGTCTAAACCTGCATCCCTGTTTCACAGCTAAATTAAACCTGGCTTCAATATTCATCACCATAGCCTACTTGGCGGCCAGTCTCCAATGTTTAGACACGAGTGGTGTTGGTCCAGACCCCTCCAGGTGTCAAAGCCCTCTGCTCTGAGATAGGATGTTCACATCTTGTCATCGGAGCTGGAGAATATAGTGAGACGACCTCCGGTACAACTTTGGTAACATACTGCAGTGCTTCAGTCACTTTCCACACGGATGTAGTGTTGTAAAGACGAATAAACTTCTTAGGAGGCACACTGTTTATTGTAACTGTTCCTTACACAATCCTTAACACACAGAGGGATATTCGGTCTCCTCACCCGATACCCTAGGGAGGTACAGCCTCCTAGTTTGGCGGGACTTGCACGTCTACCGCTAACCTAGCTTGGCGGGACTTGCACGTCTACCGCTAACCTTGATACCTAAGGAGGTACAGCCTCAGGACTTGGCGGGACTGACACGTCTACCGCTATCCTAGCCTAGAGTCCTCCGGCTTGGACCTAGGGGAGGCTATCTGACCCACCGCTGGCCCGATGGGTCCTGACCACTGGGTATGCCGAGCCTTAGCCCTCAAAAGGGCTGGAAGGCTGGTCCAGGGTCCTGGCTGGTCTTCAGCCCAGTCTTCGTGTAGGGAGAGAACTCCCCGAGCTCTGTTGGGTCACCCTTATACTCGTTCGTGGCCAGGTATAACCAATCACACATTCCCACGTGGAACTGGCTGATTGGCTCTCCCTAAACTGTGGCTACGATCCACTTCACCTCGTCTGACCCCAACCGTTATTCACACACAGGTAACGCTGCACTGCCCCCTTGATACCTGGTGGCAATGCAGGTTACCGAACAGTGCGTGGTTAACACCTCTACACGGACATGGCAACACCACCTAGTATTTTTATAACACACATGCCAACTACACTTAATGCTCATCCAGCTCTCGCACACGCACGTGGGCGCTGCGATGGCGAGATGTTAACTCCCTCGCCGAGTATACAGCAGAGCGTGGGTTCGTTTCAGACCCTGATGCCTGCTGTATATTTGGAGTTTGCGTGTTCTCCTCAGTTGTCCCGTGGAGTTTTTCGGGTTTTTCCGGTGTTTCCCTCCATATTTAGAAAAAATGCGTTTGGAGTATTTGGCTGCTTTACTTTTCCACATGATAAACCAATTCACTTCGCTATCATTTGTAACCAGGTATCTTCTGAAAAGAGCTATATAGCTCAGTGGGCCTTACCTTGTGAAATAAAAAAGCTTAGTAAATAGTACTCCCACTCTACCACCCACACACCCGGCACAAACTTCCCCCTCAGCGAAATACCCTGAGCTTCCTATCCACTCCTCACATCGCAATCACAAGGCGGATCCAAAGTCAGAATCACTCTGCCTCACCAGCCATGTCTTGTTCATTTCAAAGTCACATCAAATCGTGACCTCGTGCATGAGGGAACTGTTAACATCCTCGGTCTCGCTGAGATTTGGCACACACGTGAACGGGTATCCCTCGATCTACAACCGTCGGTTTCCGAAATTTCGCGTAAACGCAACTGACAAATTAAGGACACTTTTCGATATGCGAATTTGAAATTTCACTCCGGCCACGCGCCACGAGATCGTCGAACGAGAAGCCACCCAGGAGACTGCGTCGTCACCCATCCGGGACAGCGTCACTGTGTCCCTGCAGTGCAGCGGCAACGCCTTCACATCGCTGCCTCTCCACTCATTCTCACGTGCAGCGGGATCTTTAGTGAATTCCCTGAAAAGATTAATCAATTTTCTTTTAAATTCATTATTACTCAATCGTTTCCATATTTGTGTTATTCATGATTATGTTTGTATTGTTAAAAGTGATATAGGTGGTATACATTCTTAGGTTCGGAGTAGAGTTTACATGACTGCATGAAACGTATCCCTAACTTTTAGTGTTACGTGACTGGGAATAGCGCAGTCCGAGTCGCGAAACTTCGTTGCATTCTCGCATGTTTTGAAGAACGCATCCCGTGCTTAAATCGTGGGATATCTGCACTGTCTTCAAGTACCCCAAGCATTCTTCCATTGGGTACTACAATGGCACGGTGGTGGTGCGGATGATCGTGGCCATCTCGAGACTTGGACCTCTTCCAGAACGACCTGGGCCCCTCTACTGCACATAGCCGCCCTCTCTGAACAATAAATTGGCCGTAGACTTGAGAGACAATGGAATAACTGGCCTTGACATTCACTGCCAGATATGGAAGACTATATGAAGTTATACCATTCAGCTCGGGCAAGGCCCTGATCACAAATGGTGTTATGAACACAAATATCCCCTTTCAGCACTAACCTCCCTCCTGTGTCCCCAGAACACAGTTTATTTCACTATATATTTCAGTTGCCAATGTGAATAAACTTTCCCCTATTGCTCTGGAAAGCTCAAGGAATTGCATTCATGTAACTTTTTTGTGTTTAGTTGTCCTTCCTCCGCACCTTAGATTATTAGCACGGTTGGCAGAAGTTCTACATTGATACATATGTAGCGACTGACTTGCAGACTCAACTTCTTGGAGGCAATTATTTAATTAAACACCGAGCACACTTTGTACACTTTATACAATACACACACTGTTACACACTCTCTGTCTCTCGCTTATACGCAACTCTAAACTGGTTGCAAGCCTAGACACAAAGCTAGCCGTCTGATACTAACGGTGCTGAACTGAGACAGCCAATTACGTCTAGCAGCTCAATTATCAAGTGGAGACGACAGCGATGGCGACGATCTTTAACAGCAACGACGACGGGATCCCACTCCAAACGACAGCCCCGAGCTCCCGCCCAGGGTCCCCTTTTATCCTCTTAGCGTGGCCTCGCTCCACCCCGGCCATCTGTAACCTACTAGCGGGCTCTCGACGTGTTCCTTCCGTTACCTTTCCCCTAGATCCCTCTCGGGTCTATTACGTGGCCTGCTGTCAATCAGGGCTGCTTCGAGCTGCAGATCCCCTTCCCTGCCAACAGCCAGCACTATGCTGCTTCATGACCAATTCCATGTCACTACACATGAACCTTATTGCAGGACCCAGGGGTCCCAAATATTTTTTGGCGACTCCGTCCCACCGCACACATCAACATCGTGACCCATGTCCAAACGCAGCGAGGACAAATGCGCAGAAAAGCTGAACAAGCAAATTCACTCCATGCTCGGGTATGGGCGGGATCATGAGTCTTATCCAAAGCTGCTCAAACTGCCTACGCAACTTGTTATAACGGTATGCATAATACAGTGAAACTGCTCTCTTCATTATTATTTGTGACCTACCAATGTCTGCAGCCAGGATCAATCGATGACAATCCTATTACCTGCAGATATTTAAAAGATGAGATGCGTTGCACCGTTAATTCCTCCTGTTTGATAATACTTCTCTTGTCCGTATGCATCTGTGCAGATGGGTTTTTTTTGCGGTTAAGCCATAGTCCCCACATACCGCTCGTATCAATGCGGATAAGAGCGGCGACCCACTATTCTGTAGAGTAGCATTGGTATAAACGCTTGTTACAATATGAACAGTGCATTGAAAACGCGTACTATTGTATGTACTGCTTACAAAGTGTGTTCACAAATCTACACTGAGAAACACGATGATTGACAGAGGGGTGTAAATTATTTTTTTCGATAGTGTATTTAAATAGAGGTACTGCAGGTAAGTAGTTTTCAGTTTTAAAGGCATAGTTTAACAAGACAACACCTGCTACCATCCTTAAAACCCATTGGTGAAAAATAGTTACGTTTTTGTTTACATTATAATATCATGTTTATGCTAGAGCCGGGGGCTTATGGGAACCCGGGGTCCCGCTATAAGGTTCATAAAAATATTGATTCTGGAGTTTGGTGATCAATTATGGCTGTCGCCTGATAAGGCTGAGTTTTAATTAATGATCGACGAACGTCGTACTCGAATTGTAAATGTTGTGGGTTTACTCTCCAACACCGGTGTGCTGAACGAGGAACTAATTGGCACGTTTTGTTTACGTGGCAAACCTTACAAATTGGCTGTCGGGTGCTAGCGGGTTTAACGACACGTTTAACCTAAAAAACCTCATGGATAATATTGGTCACGAAAGCCTACTGTGTGTTAAATCCCAAATTCCATTGCCAGCTCACACACGTAAGGGTGATCATCACACAGCACCAATACTCGAATCCCTCCATCAGCTCCCAATCGAATCTTGGATCAATTTTAACATCACACTCTCATCATCATCTTCAAGATCCTCCATGCCCTTGCTCCTGCCTGTCTCTCCCCTCTCATGGTATTCCCCTTCACGCTACAGTCTGCTTCAGAAACCCAGACCTTCTTCCGCAGCCTTCAGTCGACCTTCACGGAGGGAGGGAGAGCTTACTCGCTCTCGCATCACCCCATTGCTGGAGATTCCTTCCCACCGCCATCCGTGTTCACTCTCTGCCCATCTTCAAGTGGAGACTCAAAACCTTCCTCGACTCTGCCGATGAAAGACTGCTCCTAAATCTAAAATAAATACGCCTCTATTTCCCAAGATGCCCAGGTTCCACTGTTTTTTATAGCGTCTTGAGATGTGGTTGCATGTAGATGCGAAGTCCGAATTACATTGAACAACTGTAACTGTGTCATTCAATTAAAGCGTAATTCGTTTACAGTACAGTGTGTTGATACCTCGGGTGGCACTGCACTTACAATCACGAATGCTTTCTTTAAGTTGCCTATGAGGTCCGTTTGAATTTCAGTACAACATGTCAGGTCACCTCTGGGGAGATTGTTCAGCTCAGAGGTAAGCGGATCAGCCGTGAAAGGGCCTTGCACGACCTCGCTCTGGGGTATTTGGGTGCCGGTGATAGCTCCACCGTCCAGTTTTCTATGGGTGAGACGGAGGGAGGAGGGGTTGGCTGTCGACGGTGGGACTGGGGGAATATTCCACTGCTGCGGTTGGGGCTTATTCGTTTCTGTGCTGCTCGGGGTGGCGTTGATAATGAGATGTTGATGATGAGATGTTGATGATGAGATGTTGATGATGATATGTTTATGATGAGATGTTGATAATGAGATTTTGATAATGAGATGTTGATGATGAGATGATGATGAGATGTTGATGATGAGATGTTGATGATGAGATGTTGATAATGAGATGTTGATGATGAGATGTTGATGATGAGATGTTGATGAGATGTTGATGATGCGATGTTGATAATGAGATGTTGATGATGAGATGTTGATGATGAGATGATGATGAGATGATGATGATGAGATGTTGATGAGATGTTGATGAGATGTTGATGATGAGATGTTGATAATGAGATGTTGATGATGAGATGTTGATGATGAGATGTTGATAATGAGATGTTGATGAGATGTTGATGAGATGTTGATGATATGTTTATGATGAGATGTTTATGATGAGATGTTGATGATGAGATGTTGATGATGAGATGATGATGATGATGAGATGTTGATTGATGATGAGATGTTGATGATGAGATGTTGATGAGATGATGAGATGTTGATGATGATATGTTTATGATGAGATGTTGATGATATGTTGATGATGAGATGTTGATGATGAGATGATATGTTGATGATGATATGTTTATGATGAGATGTTGCTAATGAGATGTTGATGATGAGATGTTGATTGATGATGAGATGATGATGAGATGTTGATGAGATGATGAGATGTTGATGATGAGATGTTGATGAGATGTTGCTGCTATTCGCTATGCTGAGGCTCAGAGGGACGACGCGGCGGCGGCGATGGAGGCGCTCTTTTCACAAAGGCGCTCTTTTCACAAAGAGCGCCTCGAAATGCGCATGCGTTTACTTTCATTATTTATTATTATTTAATCGCGCTCTGCATTGTGAAACGCGGTCTTGTACAACACGGTTGGGAAGGGTGGTTCGCGCTTTGCATTTTTCGATTTTTGTTGTTCCATTTTGGCCAAACCGCTTTGCGATTGAAGCTGTATTTGCGATTAAGGCACCGCGTAACAACCCTCACGCATCCACCACCACCAACCCTCCTCCTCCACCACCAACCCTCCTCCTCCACCACCACCAACCCTCCATCATCACCACCACCACCACCATCCTCCTGCTCCTGGTGCGTTCGACGCGGCTCCGGCCGGGACGCGCTCAGTCAAAGAGGCGACAGCGGCGTTCAATCCCCCGGGCGCAATGGCCAGGCTGCTGCTGCTGGCGGCGTGAGTAGTACACCCGCGCGGAGAGGCTGTTTGTTTGCTCATCGGGGACTTCATTAATTATTCATTAGTGGCGATCGGCAGCAGCAGCAGCAAACCTCATTCGTGATGCCGCCGCCGCCGCCACCTACCAGCCCCGCGGACAGCTCCGCGCTTCGGGCGCCATCCTCCCCGGCTCTGCTTCGTCTTCTTCCCTGGCTCCTGGTGACTCTGCTGGCTCCAGGTTTGTTGTCGTTCGCGCTCCTTGAATGCAGTTGTTACTATACGCGCATGCGCGCGTGTGTGGTTCTGAGCCTCCTCTAGGTCGACTCAGACTCAAACGAGTACCTGGTGCGGTGTGTAAAATCATTGCCACTGGGGAGACAAAGGCGGCCGGGCGTGGTGCTGGCCACCCAACCCCTCGTGTGCCATGTCAGCCTTCATAGGTGATCGCTAACAGCACTTGCCCCAACAAGTCTGTTAAGGTTACACGGGGGATCTTTGTCTTTTGTGGTGGGACACGGTCGCCTCTCGATAGTTTGCATCGCGACCGCTGGCGCTGCCTGCACCCCCTCGGTCTATCATCGGCTCGGGAAGAGCCTCCTCGTTCTCGTCGCTGTTTCACGGATTCCGACTGCCTCGGCATTGTCCGTGCCAGTTGGGGGCTTCCCAGCGAGGCGCTCTCGTCGTGTGTGGAGGCGAGCGGGAAGCCAGGGGCAGGCAGGCAGACAGGGGGCGAAAGGGGGTCCGCGGTGGCCATGTCCGAGCCGTGTTGACGGATAATTCCTCAACATCGCCATATATTCCTCGCAGCCAACAACCTCATTCATTATATATAAAACCATCGCCGCTATTAATAAGTATCGATTCTTTTTTTTATCGCACATGCGGTCTATAAAACCACTAAAACATTGTAATCGTGGTAAGCCACGTAACTTCGCCTCCATTCCATCACTGAATTCTTGGGTTATCATCATAGCAGCAACCGCAAGAGGCTTGAACAATCTCCATGATGATGGTGATGATGGAGACGCCACTTTGCATGCGAAACGCGGCGGGCCGCTCGGCTGTTCCATTCATCACGGGCGGTGTGGCGCCTACAAAGTGGTGGTGGTAGCCGACGTGGCCCACTGTGGCCCCTCGGTGCTATATCAGTTACAGATCGCCAATGACCGCCTCGCCTGGACAGCTCAACAGGCTTGGGAGGCAGCGTTCGTGTTTGAGGACGGGTGGCGCATTGGTTAGCGCGCTGGCACTCCGAGCCCGGTGACACGAGCTCACGACCACCAACACCAAGGGTCTTGGGACTCCCCTAGGTCGACTCAGCCTCAAAATGAGTACCCGGTGAGATTTGTAAAACATTGCCACCAGGGAGACAAAGGCGGCCGGGCGTGGCTGCTGGCCACCCACCGCCTCGTGTCACACAGTAGCGGCCTTCAGAGGTGCTCGCTAACAGCACTCGACTCAGCTGTCTGCTCAAGGCTATACCGGGGGTCTTTGTCTTTAGTTGATGGACGGACAACCACGCGTTCGGCAGGTGATGTAGGCTGCGGGAAATAAACGCGGTTGACAGCAGACGCCCGTTCAGCGAAACCAATTTTTGTACTGCGCTGCCACTCCACGTCCTCCCACGTCTTCACCGACGCGGGTGGGAAGAGGTACGTGTCGCGAACACCTCGGCCCCACCTGTGGCCTGCCAATGCATCGGCCCCAGGCGTGGACATGCCGGGGGCTCCGCCGTGCGAACATCGGATTGGTGGACAGGGGGCGGCCCGCTCTCATTGCTGATTGGGGGATTTGAACGGCAAAAAACGCGAGGACATTGGGGAGTTGGTGGGGGGGGTTGCAGAAGGATGAAGGGGGTTGGTAAGAGATGGGAGCAGGGGGGGCGCTAAAAACCTCCGAGAAGGGACAGGAAGCAAAGGGGAGACACAGACGGTGCCCCACCTTGTCACGTCACAATGCCTTGCTGGAAACCCCGTCGTCGTAAATCGGGACCCGATTCTCCCCATAGACGGTAGTAACATCACTTGCCGATGTGCTTTTCCCCATTTATCAGCTGTATATAACAGAAAAAAAAAACACTTAAAAAACAGAAGCTCGACACCTAGTCGCGTCGGAAACCTGGCCGACGTGTTCGGAAGAAGCGTTGTAAATCAAGTTTCTGCATCGTCGTAATTCGATCCATGGTCTTATTATGTAAACATCGTAAATATGAGCCGTCGTAAAATTAAAAAAAATGGAGACCGCCTGTGTAAAGCGGGGAGTGGGACATGAGCAAAGGGAGCCCTGTGGGGGGTCTGTGTATGTGTGTGCTTGTCAGAGGAACGTGAATCAAGGTTCCCTTGAGCGAAGGTCGACTCGTGTGGATTGCGGTTACTCCTCCCTCGTGCCGCGGTGGCTTGGAGATGTTAACCACCTCGCGTGGTATACAGGAGGTCGTGGGTTTGATCCCGTTCCTGGCGCCTGCTCCTGTATATTTCGAGATTGCGGTGTTTCTCTCCCCGTGGTCGTGTGGAATTATGTCCGGGTCCTCCGGGGTTTCCCTCCACATTTAGAATCGACATGCGTTTAGAGTATTTGGCTGCGACTATACATGTCCACGTGATAAGTCACTGGGTTGAGCTATCATTTGTGAGATCTATCATAGCGCAGTGGGCCTTTACCTGGTAAAATAAAAAAAGTTGTAATAGTTGAAACGTTATGTTCAGGAACCATCTGCATCCCTAGACACGTTAACAGGAGAGTCCTGCTAATATTACGCTGTTTGTCCATTTATTTCAATGGGTGCTTTGCCTCCGGGAGGCAACTGGAGTCCTCGGATAAAGTCCAAGCATGCAAGGGAATAAACGGTTCAACATCTGCCCAGATGGTTTCACAGTCCATTTGCTTAAAACTACCAGGTCTTCACAAATCTACAAAGTCCTGGATGCCACGCACTTGCCATCATGCCCGGCTATTGCCACTAACCATACTCATCGAGAGTTAGGTCGCATATCCCCATCGTCTCTGGTGATTAGGTTGTGAATTGGATGGCAAAGTGGCGGCAGCGCAGATGTTAACGCTCGTGCCTCACAGCAAGGAGGGCCTGGGTTTGATTCCCGACTCAGGGCTCCTTTCTGTGCAGTGTTTCTACGTTCTCTCTCTGTCTCCCCCTGTTGGGTTTCCTCCAGCTTCTCCGGTTTCCTCCCATGGATAAAACAAAACAAACATTGATTTTGGCCACACATCCCAATTCTGATAGATTACCTGCAAATTACTCAATTGGGTATGACACATGGCCAAACTGCAATCACTTGAACTGTCCTGAACAATAAAGTATTAAAGCTTTCGTGACTGCATAAAATTACTCATTGTTTTTTTTCGGTAAAGTCACGTATGTAGAAATACAATAAAATTATATTTTTAAAAAAACAATCACGACGTTTCGATCACAACGCAAGCGATCTTCATCAGGTGTCAAGAACAAATCACGGAGGAAATACAACAAAAAGATGAGAGACGAGAATTCAACAAACCTGAAAAAACAATGTTAAATACAACAAAAAGATGAGAGACGAGAATTTAACAAACCTGAAAAAACATAAGGTCTTTTTTAAGGTTTGTTGAATTCTCGTCTCTCATCTTTTTGTTGTATTTACCTCCGTGATTTGTTCTTGACACCTGATGAAGATCGCTTGCGTTGTGATAGAAACGTCGTGATTGTTTTTTGTTTTAATATAATTTTATTGTATTTCTACATACGTGACTTTACCGAAAAAAACAATGAGTAATTTTATGCAGTCACGAAAGCTTTAATACTTTATTATCACACTTCTACGGGGAAGTTACCGTTGTAATTGTGTGTAAGATGTGCCCTTTTTTGAGCTGCCGTTTTGTATTTACAAGAGGTGGTCATTTTTGAGCTGCCGTTTTGTATTTACAAGAGGTGGTCCTTTTTTAAGCTGCCGTTTTGTATGTGTAAGATGTGCGTGTTTGAGCTGCCGCTCTCGCTCTGGCCCCTCCCCCCCTCCAACCGTATTTCCTATTTAAGCTTCTGTTCATCCCCCCCCTCTCTCTCTGCCTCCCTGTCCGTCTTTCCTCCCTCCTTGCCTCTTGGTGGACTTGTATATGTATTTCTACTGACCGTGTACCTCGTATTTTTCATTCTATCTATGCTGGTATGTGCAATCCAAAGGTTGAACACGAAATTTAACACTCTTCTGAAATTCGTGGTCCGCCAGGAAGTGTCTAACTGTGTTGTTGGCCTGACTGGATGTGCTTCACGTAATGTTTTTTCAGGTTTGTTGAATTCTCGTCTCTCATCTTTTTGTTGTATTTACCTCCGTGATTTGTCCTGAACAGTTTTTAGACTCAGAGGCATTCTTGGTTAAACAAATACAATAATAATGATGCACGACGGTCACGATACTTGCTAAATGATACCGCGTGCAATGAGGAAAAACTCACAGTACAGGAGACACTTTAATATCACGGGGGTTACGTTCTTGGAATGTGTCACGAAAGCCAAAACCGCGATATTCAATACTCAAGCCTCACCTAAATAATAGGGCGAAGTACACGGCGACCAACCATATACACATCACAATGGAAACAAGTACTGTCGTGTATGCCAAATGAACTAACAACTAAACAATTTAATTAAACGTGTTATTGCCCGATACAAAAAACATTGCGAGACGATATATAGTATAAATATTGAATAAATACTGTATTGATCGATGATGATGATCCAAAGCAGGTGTGTGTATTTGTCCGCGAGTGGGGAGCAGTATTGTCGCGGTTAGCGCGCTGCGCTATGACCCCAGTTCGATTCCCGCTCACGCCCAACAGCAGTGATGATTATCTGAATCGGTCATGGGCCTCCCCTAGGTCAACTCAGCCTCAAACGACTACCCGTTGCGATTTTTAAAACATCGCCACGAGGAAGACAAAGGCGGCCGGACGTGGTGCTGGCCACCCACCCCATCGTGTGCCATTGCCGGCCTTCATAGGTGCTCACTAACAGCACTTTGCCCCAACAGTCTGTTGAGGCTACACGGGGGATCTTTGTCCGCGAGATGCTGGGAGGGAGCGGTGGTGTAGTGGTTAACCCGCCGCGCTACAAACCCGACGACCCAATTTCACAGTCAACACCAGTAACAATTATCCAAACCGGTCTTGGACCTCCCCTAGGTCGACTCGACCTCAAATTACTACATGGTACGAATTATAAAACATAGGGAGACAAAGGAGGCCAGGTGTGGTGTTGGCCACCCATCTCCTTTGCCGTGTTGGCCTTCATAGGTACTCGCAAACAGTACTTGCCCCAACAATCTGTTAAGGCTATACGGGGGTTTTTGTCTTTGTCTGAAAGATGCCTGCACAGTTGAGGTGCCACTACCTCCTATCCCTCGCCCGCCCCGGACCATGGTACCAGCCAGCATACTCACGATTGGCCAAAACGAACCCCTGCGATAGCTAACTTGGTATACAAAGAGGTTCCCTACGATAGTTCGAAACCGTGAACGACAACCCCGCGATATTAAAGGCTCTCCCGTAAGTGTAAGTCTGTTCATCTATGCGCAGAGCGGCTAGTTATTATTCACCCGTCTTAAGGCTGAGAGTGTTAATCTTTCAGAATAATGTGCATGATATTTATTTTTCGTTTTAAAGCTTTCGTGACTGCAGGGATTCATATTATTGGTTCTTTCGGTAAAGTTATGTAGAAGGGAATTAATAAAATAATAAAAATTAAACAATCAAATTCTCACGACGTTTCGATTGCAACACAAGCAATCATCATCATCAGGTGTGAAAACAAGCAATCATCATCAGGTGTGAAAACCTGATGATTGCTTGTATTGCAATCGAAACGTGAGATTGTTATTGTTTTATTTCTATTTATATATTATTTCCCTTCTACGTGACTTTACCCAAGAATATGATATTTATTGTTAATGTTTGTCATGTGTTTATGAATTTCACAGCTGCAACAGCCATGCCGGATCAAGTGCCATTCCCAGCACATAACGACACCTTGACCACCCAAAACTACTCAATGTTGCGTCAGGTCAACATGTCGTCTTCGCAGGAGACCAGCGGAAGCAACTTGATGTCGGTGCTGTCCACCCCATTGGAAACCACCCAACTGGAAGACTCCCACGGAAGGGCACCCAAAGTGCCTCTCAACACGTCCCCGTCAACGCCTGTCTACGTTCACGAATTTCCATCACCACCTGGTCGGAATCAGTCGTCACCGCTTGCCACGGACCACAGTGTACCGACTGACGGAGCTGCAGTCATGCCGGGTGCAACTACACAACCCCAAAAGAATGCTCACAGTGATGACAACCAAGGCTATGTCTTTGGGAGCAGTGGAGATGGGTCACCTACGGAAAACCCGCAGCACTTAAAATTTTTTGAGATGGTAAATCCCGTGACCTCCAAAATCGAAAGAAGTCCCGAATTTGTCCAAGCATTTGAGAAAGATGATTTGGTTGTGCAGGAGCTGCAGAGCTTTGAGAAAATTGACATCTCTGAGCCACGGCACGGCAAAGAAAGCAATGAGGTCTACACAGTGAAGACAGAAGTCGTGACAGTAACTAGAGTATTACCTAAAGACACTACCACCAGTGGCCTCTTGACTGATGCCATCACGATCGCCATTCCTCCAATGCCAACGAAGCAGGAGGCTACAGAGCAAACTTCCGAGCCAAGTCTCACCGCTCAGGGGGAGGAGAGTTTTGGAAACCTGGAAGATATCAAACTCAAAACGAGTGCCATCAAAACTGAATCCGTGGAAGGTTTTGAACCTTACAATGAAGGGTCTCTGAATGTAGGGCTGCCGTTTATTCGAAACACGGAGGTGAAAGATGCCTTGGAATCTACTGCATTCACTGTCACTTTAATGGAAGAATCTTGGTTCAACATGACTGAAGCACCCAGTTCAGAAGGTGAGGTTTTGTCAGAGGGATGGAAAGGTGACGGGCTAGTTAACGTCGATGACAAAGATGCATCACTTGTGGGAAATGAAGACGCAAATGATCGCGCCACAAATTCCAAGACACAATTAGAAGCTCCCAATGTTGGGAACTCAACTGAGACGTATGCTGACTTTGGCGACGCCGGTGAGATATACGATGGCGTTGACAGCAAAGGGACACTTCAGCTGGAAGATTCAAGTAAGGACAGTGACAGTTACTGGAGCCGGCAATCCACTGCAGACCCAGACCTTGAGGATTCAAGGGAATCGTGGTTCGTGACTACCGTGACGGACATGCAGCCCAGGACACCTGAAGCGGAAGATCTTGCTCCACAGATAACGAGAGGACCAGCAGCGATCGATGACCACGATGATTACGGTGACGTTAATAATTTAACCTACGGAGATGGAAGCCTAAACGCGGAGCCAACAATGTCACAGATCTCCAGCAGCAGCGGCCCGGTGGATGCCATTGCACCTTGGGACGAGGCCAAGTCGAAGGGCAAGGCGGTGGCAGCGTCGGATGCTGCGAGCTCGTTTGAGCTGGTGGACGGAGTGAGGAAGTGCAGGCCGGGCTATGCTCCACACAACGCCTCCTGCATCTCCGTGTGCGCAACGACGCCCCACTATTGCTACAATAATGGCCGCTGCTATTTGGTGGAAAATCTGGGAGCCATATGCAGGTGAATACAAATGGTGCCAGCCCATTGCAAATCAATTGAGATGTTTTGAATTTGATTACTCCTTGTCATTATCGGCTGTGCACTGAGAATTGTCTCGTGATAGTTTGGCCAAATAATACATTTTTTTCCTTGGGTTTTCAAGTTCATGTATTTTCAAGTTTCATTTAGTCCTGTGAGTCATGCGGCTCTTAAGTCGGGTACAACCGCAACAAACAAAATATGAATCTACATTGCAGAAAACTATTACAGAAAACTATTTACATTTTAGATCAACAGGGCTTCCAATTTGCCATTGTGGCCTAGTCTGTTTGAGAACTATGTTAATTTGTGGGCATAGGCATACTTTTATTACATTGTTATCATCCATTATACCTTGTTGCTAAACACACTTGTACAGTTGTCTGGTTGCATTACGGATAAATAACTTAAAATGCAATGTTGCAAGTTCAAATCCCAGTTATGTCTCAAACTCAGCCTCTTGTCCTTCCAAAATGGTCGAGATGTTAACTATCTCGCCTGGTATACATCAGGTCTTTGGTTTGATCCCGTCCCTAATGCCTATATATTTGGAGTTTGCATGCTCTCCCCGTGGTCGCGTGGATTTTTCTCCGGGTCCTTCGTATTTTCTCCCTCCATTTAGAATCAACGTCACGCGTTTGGAGTATTTGGCTGCTATACATTTCCACATTATAAGGCATTTTGTTGAGCGATCATTTGTGATAGCCAGGTCGCTTCTGAAAAAAAGCTGCATAGCTCAGTGGGCCTTACCTGGTAACATAAAAAATAGTTTAGTTTGTGAGTGGGTAAACTGAGTACTACTGTGCGTGGCGGTTGTCCTATGTAGAGACTGGCCCTTGTCATGGGAACGTGATTTTCAACACTGGCTCATGGCCATCAATGGATATGAACGTGGCCTCATCTTTACGGATACTTTGAAACAATTCGACACACTGGTGTGAAGTTATTGAGAGCCCCTATAACAAACGTGTTGTGCTGCCTTTATTGCACTCTCAGTCAGTGTGTGTGTGCATGACACGTAACTGTGCTACTGCCTGCACAGAATTAACGAGGTGGATGGTAGAGGCAAGACGACGCAGACAAGACAGATAGTACACAACCAGTATTGTACATATGGGACGATACAAGCGAGACCGTACAGGCAAGACCATGCAGATGGTAGAAGCGATAGAGACAAGGTAGACCTATATAAAGTGCACACAAAACAGTAGAAACTAGACAGTATCGACAGAACCAACTGAACAGATGGTACAAGACGAAGCAGTGCAAACAAGGCAAGAATCAACTCTTGAATGGATCCTTAAGCCTTGTTTGTGACAATAGAATCATGCATGGCAGAAGCAGTGGCGGCGCTCAGCCGTGAACGAACTTGGCAAAAGCTTCGGGTCCCCAGTAGCTCAGGGGGCACCAACAAGCAGCTAATTGATACAGAGCCTAATTTAATACGTAGGTTTTTTTGCAACCAATATTATGGTGGCCTGATAAACACTTTGGCGATATGTCAACCACTTCGCCTGGTATACAGGAGGTTGTGGGTTCGATCACAACCCTAACGCCTGCTGTATATTTGGAGTTTGCATGTCTCTCTCCCCATGGTTGCGTGGATTTTTCTCCGGGTCCTCCGATTTTTCCCGCCACATTTAGAATCAATGTGTATAGAGTGTTTGGCTGCTATAAATTTCCACATGATAAGCCACTTCGTTGAGCTATCAATTATTTTAATAGTTTTTAATAATCATTGTGTAATAAGGCTGATTCTTAATTGATTTTTTTTGGAGACTACAAAATGATCTGAACAATTCTCCTGTCATATAACCCTTCACTACCCGACGTAGCCAAATGAATGAAATTGTCACGCATCATCCCCGACCAAGAACGACAGCAAAATGTGGGAATAGGCTGAGGACATGCCAACTGTAGAGTTATGGCTTCTGTGCAGCAGTTAGATGAATTGTTGCATCACAAGACTATAATAGATGGCAAAGGCTTACGGAGGTCTTAAGTTTAATCAGTTGGCAAATTACAGCAAACAAAAATATTTTTTCATTAAAACTAACACTGAAAATATTCATTTAGATTGACCTCATAAAACTGGTAACTACAGCATTTTAAGCAATAAATTTTGAAAGAAACGGTACGACCATTTGGCTTTCGGATGCGCTTCCGTGGCTTTCTGGAATGCTCTTCCTTCCGATATTAGGAAGCCACTGGAGCTATGCACTTTAATACTCCGATTAGCACGGTTGGCTACGTACAGTGCAAAAGAAGTTCAACATACATAAACACGTACATCTGTACACACAGGGGAATGTGTGCGTTGTCCCGCCCTCACAGGTGCTCGGCACAGGAGTACAGCTGGTACAAGGGCGCCCAGTGCCAGTCGGTGGTGACGGACTTCCAGGTGGGATGCGTGGCGGTGGGCACCGCTCTGCTCGTGCTCTTCCTCATCTTCATGCTCATTGTCTTCTTCGCCAAAAAGCTGCACTCGCTGAGCACCGAGAACCAGCAGCTGCGCACAAAGAGGTGAGCGGCCGTGCATGGCCATGAGCGGTCATGAGTTGCCGTGAGCGGCCGTGTGTGGCCGTGAGCGGCCGTGAGTGGCTGTAAGCGGCCGTGTGCGGCTGTACGTCGCCATGCGTAGCCGTGCGTGGCCTGAGTGGCTGTGTGCGGCTGTGAGTGACCATGAGTGGCCGTGCGTGACCGTGAGCAACCGTGCATGGCCGTCAGTGGCCTTGAGTGGCTGTGCGCGGCCGTGCATGCCCGTGCACGGCCGTGAGTGGCCGTGAGTGGCCATGCGTGGCCGTGCTTGGCTGTGAGTGACCGTGCGTAGCCATGCGTGGCCGTGAGTGACCGTGAGCGACCATGCGTGGCCATGAGCAACCGTGCGTGGCCGTGAGTGGCTGTGAGTGGCTGTGCGTGCCGGGGCTCTCGCCGTCCTGGTGTATGGGGCCTGCCAGTGAATATCCTCGGTGAAGAATTCAGAGCCGAATTTAACACGTAGGTTTTTTTTGCCACCAATATTACGATTGCCTGATAAACACGGTGTCTAGGAGATGTTAACTAGCTTGCCTGGTATATAGGAGGTCGTGGGTTTGATCCCAACCCTCACGCCTGCTGTATATTTGGAGTTTGCGTGTTCTTGCTGTCTCTCCCTGTGGTCGCATTGCACCAACTTATTTGCTTTTCGTGTCATGCATTATTCACTATACAGGAAGATCGTGCAATCCAACGCAGGTTTGTCATAGAAGGCCTGCAACCTTAGGCCGGGATCACGATAGATCTGACGAACCCCACGGGGCCCTTTAGCAGCCAACTGGATGGTGCACTGATGGAGACGATCGCGAGCCACTCTTGCCTAGATGTTTACAAACAGGTCCACAGTGTGCTGGAGCACTGTCCCTCCATCCGTGCGATGTGGCCCAACAAGACAGAGGTGGCTTGAGTGGACATTGTCGTTTGACGGCAGAATGACCAGCGCCTTGCCTAGGCTTCGGTGTTGCGAACAAAGTCGAACCATCTGTTGCCCGGAAGCTGCGGCCTGTTTGAGACTGCAGGCGAGTCCACGTCTCAGCGCCGTGGAGTAGGACTGGCATCACGCAAGACTTGTATACGGCCTGTTCTGCTATCACGTATGTTGTTTTCATAACTCGAATTGGACATAACGCAATTAATGCATTGGGAAACACTTTTTTTATAACGTGGACATGAATTGGATATATAACACGATTGAGTGAACAGAACTACGTCATACGAGTAGGAATAAGCGGTTGTACGGTTGCCTCGGCGTAGCATCGCACAAGGCATTGGGATGCTTCTAGACGCTACCCACGTGCCAAAATCTTTGTTCAGCCTGCGTTATGCATCTCACGTGTTATCGCGGACCATGATTTATCCCTATAATATGTAATATTTATTATAACGCCATTTTTTCATAAAGCGGTGTTCTTGAGGAATGCAACAACCACCGCATTATAGGAGAGCAGACTGTACTCGGGTCTTAGACGATGTGATAACTCTGCGGGGCTACAGGTTTAAGTTTATAATAATTATATCGCGTAAATATATATGTGTCGTTAAACCCGCCACCACCCGACACAGCCAATTAGTAAGGTTTGTCACATAAACAGAACATGCAATTCGTTACTAGTACAGCACACCGGCGTGTTGGAGAACCAAGCCACAAGATTTACAATCTGAGTACGACCTTTTGCCAGTAATTACAACTAGCTTCATCAGGCGACAGCCAGATACGTGACAAACCTTACTAATTGGCTGTGTCGGGTGGTTTTGGGTTTAACGATACATTTATATATTTACACAATATAACCCAAAAAACCTGTATTTTGAATAATATTGGTCACGAAAGCTTACGTCTTAAACAGGGAGGTTTTAATTTCAATTTAAAGCTTTCGTGACTGCAGGGATTCATATTATTGGTTCTTTCGGTAAGGTCACGTAGAAGGGAAATAATAAAGTAATACAAATGTTCGTGCTGTGGTTTTCACACCTGATGATGATTGCTTGTGTTTCAATCGAAACGTCGTGAGAATTTGTATTTTTTATTTGTATTATTTTATTATTTCCCTTCTATGTGACCTTACCGAAAGAACCAAGAATAGGGAGGTTTAAGTTTGTTTTGATTTGTTGCATGGATGGTGGTGCCGTTCAACCAGTTGCCCGACACTTTTACAAGGGAGATCCGTCATGTGTGAGCACAGCAACAATAACAATAAGAAGCACAAACACATGAACATTGCATTCAGGAATATTGCACAAATTAGGTATTTAACGGTTCAGTTGCTTAAAGCACAGCCGGTGAGTTGCTTACCGTTTTATCCTCTGTGTGTGTGGGTTTCTTTTGGCAATCCTGTGTCATCCAACATGCAACACATATACACTGTGAAACATCCAGCCTGTGTGACCCTTATGAAGAGCCCTTGTAAGAACGTTGTGTGGGGCTCAGTGGATGCTTTTATGGATAAAGAACTGTAAACGTAATTATCATAAGCATCGGAAAAGCATTGAACTGTAAGCATTCGAGCCTGGGAAGTTTTTAGGATTAATGCTCAGGGTCGGGTTACTGTTTGGAGATGGGTTAGAGTGAGAGGTTAAGTGATAAATCATTACAGAATCGAGTAACCATACGTTTGTGTATGTGTAGTGACATGGAATGAGTCACTGTAGCACTTGCCGCTGGGAGATTGGTAGACAATAGAATTATGGGTAACAGCCCGTTCTATCAGTTGCACTTGTGGGCAAGGTACGGAGCCCTCTGGCGGATTCAGAGGGGTGCGGTGCCGAGGGCGGAGCCTGGCCACGCTGTTCAGGATATAAGGCGAGCTCCAACTCACAGTCGGGGCTGCTGCGATCTGGAGTGGAACTCGTCCTGCCGTCGTCGCCGTGATCTTCGCCCTCTGCAAGCTGTAGGTCAGGCAGCATGTTGGCTGTCCTAATCCAGTATTTAGTTATCCCCTAAGGCTGTGAAGGCCGGAATAAAAGAGAGAGAGAGAGTACCTCCTACTAGTGTCTGTGAATTAGCACACTACATTTGGTGTAAGGAGTGTTAATGAAAACATTTTTTTTTATATATATTGTAGGGTTGTTAGGAATTTTCTTTTTTTCCTTTCGAATCCTTGAGGGGGATATAGACTATGTCGGAAGTTCACGGAGAGGAAGGCTCTCATTGACACGTCCTCCGGGGGGTCCCGGAGTGGCAGTCCCGGTGGGGCAGCAGGTGAAGGACGACGATCCCGCGCCACCTCTGGCTAGAGAAGAGCTGCAGGCACTCAGTGTGCACATCGTGGAGCTGCTCTCCGTGTGACGGCGCTGGTGGGGCAGCTGGGCAAGGAAGAGCCGGTGGGGGGGGCTGCGAATCAAGGGCAGCGAACGGGCAATTCCGCCGTCACTGCTGACCAAGGGCGGGTATTGAGTCCCGCCGAAAGTAACCTGCCATGGACGGCTCGTCCGGGGGCACCTTCCCTCGTGCAACGGCTGCAGTTTCTCAAATAATTTTTGGCTGCGGGGGGTGATTGGGCGGTCTTCTGGTGGCGGTTCGCCGCCACTTGCGAACTCGTGGGGTGGTCCGATGCGGAGGCGCGCTGGATGACGCAGCCTTGGCAGCATTTTTTTCCATTCCCGAGGCGGGCAGAACGACGCTGCGTCAAGCGTACGACCAGTTGGCGGCAATTTTTTGACCCGCCGTCCAACGCGCGGCGGAAATTCATGATGCGGAGTTGGGGAGAGACTGAGACGCCCCTCACCTTCCGCAGCGCACTCCTGTCGCTGGCCCAGAATGCGTACCCAAGGATGGAGTGGGTAGGACTGGATTCTCTGGTGCTAGATAAACTGTTGGCGCTGGCTCAGGAAATGAACATTTTTTTTTTCCGGGCACAGAGGAGGACGACTTGTCCTCAATTCAGGTAGCCCGATGCATCCAGGCCCACTGTAACCTGCGACGACGTGCCGGGGTGGCGGCCGGGGCTGGATTTCTGGGAGAAGAGGGCGAGCACCGAGAGTCTCCTTGGGTCTGCGTGTCAGGTGGTTGGAGCCCACGGGGGAAATTCAGAGCGGGACGACGACTGGACCAGTGGGGGGGGAACCTTGCCTCCACCATGGGGGGGCCCCATTACCTGCTTCAGGTGTGCCCTGCCAAGCCACATCTCCAGGGCCTGCCATGGTCATTTAGGGCAGTATTTCCCGGCTTCTCCGTCCTCCGCCCTGCCAGCCTCCACTCCTCTGGGTCCAAAGGCAGGTCGTGATAGTCACACGCCCGGCCGACACAGCTCATGCATCCCCATTGCAGTCGGTGTTGGGTGCACACGCCATCGCCCCTCATAGGGATACGTTGTACAAAGGTGGTGCTTCAGTGCGTGATGGTTGGCTGTGGGGGTCCGGGCAATGGACCACACTGGCACATCGTGTCATGGCAGCAGGAGCGGTATCATCCACGGTATGTGGATTTGTGCAGGGTGTTGAGGTGCGGATGCTCATAGATACGGGGGCATCCGCCACCATGGTTTCCGAGTTTGTTTTTAGGACTCTGCCGTCGACAGTGGGTTGCCTTAGTCCTGTAGATAATCCGTGGTGGGAGTTTAGGCATTGTGGGCCGAATTGAGGCATCTATAAGGATTGGCGATATTGGTTTCAAGTTCATTGGCGGTGCCTTGTTTATTGGGGACGGATTTTTTTAAGAGGATGCCCCTCCGGATTTTAATTGACTAGGGTTGTGTGGAGTTACCGTCGTGGAATCGGTTGAGGTTTTTGGAGTCCCCTACTGGGTGGTGTATGGTTCAGGCCCTGATGCGTGAAACTGTTAGGGTTTCCCCGGGTGCACAGATGTTCGACCAGAAAATCACTGGGGGTGGGGTTCTTTTAACCCCTTCGAATAGAGCAGTTTGTGGGCTCACTTTGATAGGGGCTCAGACGATAGTGAGGGGAGATCAGGAGCCCTTCCTGCAAGTATTGAAAGCTGGGCAAGATACCGCGGTCATACAGGCAGGTACGATGTTGGCCCATGCGACGGC